CACATTATAAAGATAGCAGGACAGAAAGAAGCAGCATGAGTGGATGGGAAATGATGCATGACTGAACACACAGGTCAATGGATTGGAAAAGAAATCTATGAAAATGAATGAGACAATGCATTTTAAAATAGTACTTACCTCTAACAATTTAATTTTATTTGTATTTCTCCTGCAAAACTGAAAGCAAAAGAATAAATAAATAAAACAAGATCACATTTGTTTTCTTCTACCTTTCTACAATTTCTTATTCTAACATTTAACTTTCTAATCCATATGGAGTTTATTTAGGCACACAGGGTGAGGTACAAAGCTAAGTTTACTTTGTCTTCTAAAAAACTAAATCAATTACCTAGAGACACCCATTGAATGATTCTTCCTTTCCCGCACTGCTTTATATCTTTTGCCATGTGAAGCTTATATTAAGGCCTTTTAAAATGTTCTCCCTCTTGCTTGTGAATCGCATATGTGTACCATGTACAACAAATAACCTTAGAGGCAGGATATCATAGAATCAATACTCTACCTTTTATTCAAAGGGGAAGAAAAGGTCATTTAAGTGACATATTACAGGCCCTAAAGTATTGTGATTATGTAATGATTGTGAAAACAAAATATAGATACAAAAAGAGTCAGTTGCCAATGTGGTTCTGCAGTTTGGACAAGCCAAGTGGAGAGGAAACAATGATAAAACATCTACATCAACAAGAGTAGTGGAATTAAAACAATAAGCATCACAATGATGATGGAATGTCATACCCACTATCAGAAAATGAGAAAAACAATTGTCCTACTGAAGCCTTAGACCAGCAATATGGAAGGCATGGGGGTTTGTGTGCTCTAGGTGACCAGCATTCTAAAATCATCTGGAAACTTTCTTTACAAGGAGCAACCTCATGCACACTCCCTTATGCGGCCTCCACACTCCTCACAGCATCCAGGTTATCAGGGCTGCTGTCACTGACCAGGTCTTCTTCCTCACTTCCTCACTCACCACAAGGGTTCCGACATCTGTGGTTTGACCCTCCAAGACTGTAACAAACTTCCAGTGGTAGTTTACATAAAAATAAAAAATAAAAAAAAAGAAAGAAAAGAAAAAAAGTATCACAAAGTACTTAGATTGATTTAATTCAATTTTGCAACCAAATTGTGTGTTCTTCATTCTTCTTTATAAGAATTCTTTTAGGAAAATCATAATATATTCAGTTGTCAGAAAAGTCATGACGTATTTTTTCTGTTTTTCGTTGCAAAAAATGTGTCATGACTTTTCTGACAACCCAATAATTATGAAGCAGCTCAGTCTGATCTATCAAAGAACATGCACGTGGCTTCTTTGTGATTTACCTTGTATTCTACTAATGTGTGTTGAAGAAATTGCTTGATTTTGGCTTGTGTAGCCTAACAAGATTCAAGTATTAGCTGGTGAGAGCCACTTCCCAGGTGGGCACACGTTCCTTCAGAGAAAGCAAGTCTAGTCAAAGAAGAAAAGACAGGACTGTTTCAGAGAAGCAAAGATTAAACCACCCCATGCATGGTTACATTTTAAACTTAAAATCAATGTATCTTTGTCCATGTTTCTGTGTATGAAGTAGAGCATTCAAAGAACACCTTTTCCCCCTCATTTTCAGAGTTTTCACCAGACTCTAAGATAATTATTTGCATGCTTGTACTTCAGGTTGGTAAAGATATGACAGCTGGCTGGATTTCTCTGACCTGAAGTTAGCATGGGCAGGGGTCATGTAAGAGCTTTAGTATCCTCATCACTGTTTCATCCTTTCATTTCAGCACCCAGACGTGGGATATCGGAATACTGGACATCTTTGGTTTTGAAGAATTTCAAAAGAATGAATTTGAACAAGTAAGTGGGATATTTTTTTTTAATTTTATAAACGTTATGGTTTTTTGCCACTAATAAGTTAGCTCCTTTTAATTCAACACAGACTATTTGCAAAATTACTTACAAACACAGAAATAAGGACTTTACCATCCTGTTTTAAAATTAATGTCTCTGCTTTGTTGACATATTTATCATTTTTATGTGGCCTTGTAAACAACTGGCATAGTCGTTTTTTTTTTTTTTTTTAAACAGAGGCACTTGCCTTGAAAGACAGCATTAGATAAAGAGCTGAGTTGTGCTTATACTATTTCAAGTAGGTCAGAGAGACAGACGGAGGGCATCTGTGTTTGCAATCAGGGCAAAGATCTTCAGGAACCTTCGCCAGAAATCGGAATGGAAATAGTCTCTTATGTTAAATGCTGTTATTTGTAGATTCATCTTTACGTGACATGCATACATATGACTGTGGAGAACTCATGAAAATAGATTAAAGAGGCATTGGTTATTTTTAATCCATTTACAATTTAGGGCACTTGGAAAAGCACTAAATTCTTTATGTATCTTAATAGTATTGGATGAACAGTTTCATCAAATTAGATATCTCTAAAAGTTAAGTGTTAAAGAAGTGAGTGGAAGTAGGACTCGCCTTACCCCACAGAGAAAAAAAATAAACCTGTAAAAAGGTATACATGGAAAGGTAGAAAACCAAGCTGCCCTATGTTACATGAAGAATTACAATTCTGCACTGTTTAGGGAGAACTGTTAAGAATTACATAATGTAAGCTGGCTGAGTGGCTCAGTTGATTAACGAGTTATCTTAAGAGTGTGAGCTCTGAGCAACAGGGCCACCGGTTTGATTTCCTCATGGGCCAGTGACGCTGTGCCCGAGCTGAGCTGCTGCTGAGCTTCCAACTGGTGGCAGGATGTGCTTCTAACAGCAAGACTGCCTGTTCGATGGTGGACTACGCCTGCCCACCCGCAACTAAGACTGAACTTGGCACCTTGAGCTGAGCTGCCACCTGGATGGCTCAGTGGATAGAGCGTGCACTCTTAACAACAAGGCTGCTGAATTCAACTGCCGCATGGGATGGTGGCTACGCCCACCCGCAACTAAGATTGTAACACAGCACCTTGAGCTTAGAGGCCACGGGCTGCTGATGGGCAGCCAGATGGCAACTGTCGCCCTCCACAACTAAGATTGAAGAACAAAAACTTGGCTGTTCCCCTCCACCCCAATTCCCCAATACTGTTCTCCTCCCCCAATTCCCCAATTAAAAAGAAAAAAAAGAAAAGAAAATAATTACATAATATGTTGAGCTATATTGTAAAGTAGATGATGTGGTGGTTAAGGACACTGGATAAGGAATTAAATAGAATTAGTCTGAAATCCAGTTCTGTGACTTTTACTTGCAGAGCTACCTTGGCTAGGAGGAAAAGTTTATAATTGGTTTTGGTTTCCTTATCTGTAAAATCAGAATTATAATAGACTTACAGAGTTGTCACATTAAACAAGATTATTATTATAGAGGTTCTGGTGTTGTTCCTAGCTTACTGAACCAGTTTGAGAAATGGTGCATAGCCACTGTTACTGTTGTAAATGGGAACAGTTAAGAAACTTTTAAAACCCAGCTATTTTTTTTTCTAAAGAAAATGATACAGCATCCTGTGAGTACATCCTAAATCATGCTGACTCACTTAATTAATACAGGGTGAATCATCATGAATCATATTTTTTACAAAACATTACAAAAAGTCTGGTATGACATAAGACCGAGGAGGCCATAGATATATATTTTTTTATTTTTTTCATACTTTGTATCCATAGATTCATGGAAAAAGGAGGTCTTCATGGTTTTATTTATTTATTGTTTATTATAAGAAAAATAGTGATGAACATAAGGAAGAACTCAATTTAAAAATGGCTAGTAGGATATACAATAATATACTCCGGTCTGCACACTGCCTCTTGTGATGTATTTCTCAGAGCAAAGTGTTTGAATGGTTATCTGGCAGTTGTATCGATTCCTTACATTTTTTACCTTGAAAAACACGCATGCTTTTATGTCTGCAATGAGGCTTACTGGTTTCTCCCTCACCTGGTAAATAGGATGCAGGAATCTCAGGTAGAATAGTGTCAGGGCCTCTACTAGGGGCCATGCTCTCACCCCTTTCTTCACCCCCAATACAATCATTTGTCAAGTCTGTACTGACAACGGATATGTACAAACATTTACATTATTTTCATATTAAACCTTTTTTTCTTAATTTTACTACAATTATGTATATCCCTTATTATTCTTTCTGCTAAAATTGTAATGATTTATTTTGGAATATATTTACAGTCTGAGCTTTTTATATAACAAGGAATGGCATTTTTTCAAACCCTAAGAATAAGTCTCTATGAAAAATCAAAAGCTAGTTTTAGGCATTTATGGGTAAAATCTCAAGACCAATTCTTAGACAAATTATAAAAAAATAAATATTTTTAAAAAAATACGCACCTGTTTCTTAGCAGGTTTCTTGGCTGTTGTGCACAACGCTAACTAGGAGCCATTTGGGGAATAGGGTTATTTTCTTGGTGATGAAACTCATTTTACAGTGGATTGATTTAGCAGATTCCTAAATTTGCATGGGGACTTTTTAAAGGCCATTAATTTGAATGATACATTCTAAATTCTTGAGTTGTGAGCAGAATGTGAACTTTCTCTTTTTTTTTCCCCTTTGGAAACTTTCAAAGAATGTTTAACAAGCCAAGATAGTATTCAGAATCAAACCCAGAAACTATTAGTGCCTTTATAAGTATTTATTTTATTCTGTTTTGAGCTTTTTGACCCATCTATCAGCTATTCACTATAATGTCAGCTCCTACAGGGTTGAAATGTTGTTTGGTGCAGCATTTTGTGTATAATAGAAGCTTAACAAATGTGCTTTCAATTGAAATTTTAAGAATAAACTCATAAGAAAAATATCTTCATAGTGTATTTCCTAGTGGTTCTCTTTGCTGAGGACTAAATGCATGTGTTTCCTCACAGTTGTGCCTCCATAAGAAGCTTGACAAATGTTTAGAAATGGGACAAATTAGAGGCGATGTTAAGAAGCACTCCAAAACACTAGCATCTCCGACCTCAGTATCCCCAAGTAGCTCTGAAAGATCAAATGGATGCTTGTCGTTCTCTAGACAAGAATTTGTTTCAGCTCATAAGAAATGCTAATCCCATTTTCTTTGACTTTTAATGAGTCATTTCTATTCAGAGCTATTTCATATATTATAATAAATACCATATTTATAGTAAATATATATATATATACACACACATACATAAATATTATACATATTTCAGCAATAGTTCAATGAGGAGGGGCATGCTAAGTAATTTGAGTCCTGAAGAACATATCAAAAGGCTCTAAACCTACTACCCTGATTAATTAAATAATTACATTACTATCAGCTCACTCTCTGTCATGTAATACCTAAACTTCATAAACTCTTTTTTTTGTATGAAGTTGATCTCTAGCACTGTAAAAATATCTCCTAAATTATTGAAAGGGTAGCCTCTTCACTTACACAGTCAGTGAATTCCAAGTTTATAATGCTTGATAAGTAGAAAGATGATAAACAGCTTAGGGGTACCTTCTTATTCATTTCAATGCCAGTAATGTTAGGAAAAAGAAAGCAATTTGTGGCAAAAAGTGGAGAGGAGAAAAAAATATTTCTACTTCTAGAGATGATGATATATTTAGAAAACTGGAAAGAATGAATGAAAGCATTACTATAAACGAGATAACTTGATAAAGTAGCAAGTTGTAAAATCAGCATGTAACACCAGTGACTTTTACATATTTTTCAAATACCTTTTCAAAAAACGAGCTGGAAAAGAAGACAACATTGTAAAAAATAAGTAAATAGCCAATGTGAGGGAATCTGTAAAATATTCCTGAAAGTCACACGATTACACTTAAAACAAATGGAAAAACATACTGCATTTTTAGACAGAAAGGCTTAATATTATAAAGATGCTGATTCTCTCTAAGTTAACTTATGAATATAACTCGATGTAGTCCCAGTACAAACAAATGAAGAATGGATGACAGAATCAGAGCAACTCAATTTTGCAGATCCAAGTAAGCCATGACTCTAGGCAATGAGTATCAATTGCTGATAACATTAGCAAAAGAGTGACAGCATACACAAGATGCAAATCAAGTGTTCTGGCCAAGAAGAAAAAAGAGAGGAAGGAAGGTTAGAAGAAAGAGAGGGATGTGGGTGGGAGGAAGGAGAAAGAGAGGCAGGGAGGAAGGACAGGAAAAAACCTGAATACAATGAAGTTTCTTGAACTATTAATTAACAAGAACTGAAGACAGAGGAACATACTAAAATAAACCATAAAAAAATCCAGAATGTGGGAAACTGTACAGGACAAATGACCTGATTTCTTCAACATATGAAACGCAAGGGTGGAAATGTGGAAGAGGGAGGGTGGCCTATGGATTTAAAGAGAGGTAATAGATACATAAATCAGTTAAATATTTGGACATTAATGTGGAACCTAATTTGTTTAAGTATAAAAAACGATGAATTAATGTGAAATCTGGATTTTGGTGAAATTAAAAGATTATTGTTAATAGAAATTATGTGTGATAAAGGTACTGTGGGTGTGTGTTTTTCAGTCCTGATATCTTAGATATTTATACCAAAATATTTGCCAACTAAAGACACAATGTCCGAGAATTTTTTCAAATCAGTCTAGTTTTGAGGGTAGCAGGGAAATAGACAAAGCAGAATTGGCCATGAGTTGGTAATTGTTGATAACTGTTGAAGTTGGTTGATGGCAGATGGAAGTTCATTACATTATTCTCTTCACTGCTAATATGTTTAAAATTCTCCATAATATACTCTTTTAAATAACAGACCTTTCCCAAACAAGGTTGGAGACAAGAAAAACTGTACAACAACAGGAAATTCAAAGAAAGCAAAATAAATTATAGAATCTTAAAGCTGAAACAGATCCAAGAGATACTGT